GGCATAACAACTTGGTACCCCTGAAGGTCCTGGGACCCAGGGACTGATCCGTCTGCAAAGCAACTCCTATGTATACACCCACAATGGCACATTCACACACAGAGACCAGATAAACACCCTGGTTCTCAAGCTGGTCCGTGGGCAGAATAGGCTTTTGGTTAAATGAAACGGTAATGTCTCAGGCCTCAACTTAAATCCTAAAGACTTTCAAAGCCCCATTTCAAAGATGCTCTACTTTACACAACCCAGACTATAATTAAATGGCTAGCAGTTCCCTAGGGAGATAGGAAGTCTAGACGTCAGGTGTGACTGGGAAACAGCTGCAATAAACTAACTAGAACACTGTCTTTGGAATTGGACACTTTATTTGCAGACATCTTTACAAAGGTCCTAGCCTTAGAAACACAAAATGCTCACAAATCCCCAATACGGTGTCTTCAGATAGAGACAACAGCAAGAAGACGGCAGGAACTCAAGGCTGTGCAGAATGTCACATTAATATTCAAGCTGCTTTAGAACTGGACAGAGAAATTCCACCTTTTCTAAAGGAAAAACCTCACCGTATCTTTATTACCTCACTCCACTTTATTGCATAAAGTGCGATAATTATAACCTGAAGAAATTTTCCTCAAAACTTTTAATTCTGAAGAAAAAAAAAGAGGAAAACCATATACATAATTTTTCAAATATGAGTTAGATGCTCTGCACAGTGCTAAGAGCGCTTTTTATTTACATTATTGCATTTCATCAAGCTATAAGACTACAGGGAGAAAAGGGAATATTCTTTTTACAGAAGGAAATCCTGGGGACTAACCAAGGAAATGTAAACAGTTTGTCCTCGTTTGCAAAGTTCTTCCAAAGAGGGAGAACAGAGTAGGCAAGTTTATCACCCCTGAGTATCTCTTACAGAAGATAATGGATGAGAAGGGGCGGGGGGATCAACCATACTGTGTCTCAGGGAGGAAAAACCAGTCCTGTGACAGTTTGTCATGTTGGAAAATGGCAATAGTGGTGGTAGGAATCACTTATGAGCAAAGAGTTTCTAAGCAGCTTTTGTGTGCTAGGTACTAAGAACCACGGTACAGTCAGGAACAAGAAGGACCCAAACTCCAACCCTGGTGGAGCTCACATTGTAGGTAAGGAGAAGAACAATGACCAACACACAAAAGGAAAGGATATGGTACGTCAGAGAGTCACAGGTGCCGATGGAAAAAGGAACCACAGACAAGGTATAAAATTTTAGGGGCAAGGGTGGCAATTTTGTAATTGGTTGGGCAGGAAAACCTCCCTGAGATGGTGACATTTAAGAAGACACCAGAAATAAGTGAGAACATGTGACACAGGTATTTAGAGAAAAAGAATCTACGAGAAAGAAATCTCAAATGCAAAGGCCCCGAAGTAGCTTTCTGAGTATTTGAG